TGCAGCCCCCCATTGCATTTCTGGAGTTAGAACTGGGAATGGCTGTACTTTTACCTTTTTCCTCTCTTCAGGTGAAATAAGTAAGTGGCAAATCTGTGGAATCTCATCAGTTTTATTACTGCACTCTGGGCTGCATCAAGAGCAGCATGACCAGCAGGTCGAGGGAGGGGATTCTGCCCCTCTGCTGTGGTGAGACCCCCCCTGCAGTGCTGTGTCCAGCTCTGGGGCACCCAACGTAAGAAGGACATGGAGCTGCTCGAGTGTGTCCAGAGGAGGCCATGAAGATGATCAGGGGACCTGGAGCACCTCCCTTATGAGGACAGGCTGAGAGAGTTGGGGGTGTTCAGCCTGGAGAAGAAAAGACTCTGGAGAGACCTTATAGCAGCCTTCCAGTACTTACAGGGGGCTACAGGAAAGGTGGGGAGGGACTCTTTATCAGGGAGTAGTGATTGAACAGGGGGTAATGGCTTTAAACCGAAAGAGGGTAGATTTAGATTAGATCTAAGGAAGAAATTCTTCCCTGTGAGGGTGGTGAGGCACTGGCACAGGTAGCCCAGAAAGGTTGTGGCTGCCCCCTCCCTGGAAGGGTTCAAGGCCAGGTTGGACGGGGCTTTTAGCACCCTGGTCTGGTGGAAGGTGTCCCTGACCGTGGCAGAGGGGTTGGAACTAGGTGATCTTTAAGGTTCCTTCCAACTCTAACTGTTTCTATGATTCTGTGATAATGCTGCCTGGCCCGAGATCTCCCTGTTGTTTCTGTAATTGGGTAGTTCTTGCCTCATTAAGAAGACTGTATATAAAATCCAACTGAAGTAAGTTGCCTTCGTTCAATTTCTGTAGGTCATCCACAGCATCTACTTAAATTCTAGCTATTCAACATGATGTTCCTCTGTGAGGGGAGTTTGTGCCAGCTGGTGTCCATTGTGCGTGTTTTGTAAGGGCATGTGGTAGAATGTATGTCTGTGTCACTGAGAAGACAGGGAATGCTTTTAAGCATTATTTAAATGAGCTTGTATATATGACAAGTATGAAATGCAAACTTTTAGGCAGAGCTTTACTTTTACCTTGTTCATTAAATCCTCCACTCCAGTTAGTCATTGGGATGTCAAAAAAAGAAATAGGCAGGCGTCAAGACTTGTAGATCTTGATCATGCTGAAACTGGAATCAAGGAGGTGTCAAAGATGTGAAGATGCTTGATGTCAGGATTAGGAGGCTGAGATAGCCTAGAGACATGAAGAATGAGGGGACAATTGGATAAAGAGCAACTGTGAGATGGAATGTTTTATTTGCCCTGCCTCGCACTGTCTATGAAGAACTGTAGTTGGGAGGAAAACAGTGATAAATTTAAGAATGTTGCTTTTGGTTTTCTTTTTAAGTCTAGTGTTCTTTAATTGTTGCTTTGCTTTTTTTTGCAGTGGAAAAAGTTTGCATGCCTTTTTGAAAATAAATGTAGCTATGAAAAGTGCTAGGTCTTTTTGTCTTTATGTATTTCCTAGAGCTGTAAGTCTTGACCTTCCTTTCACCTAGTTTTCAATTCTGACTTTGTATTTTAAAGAAATTCTGGAGAAATAGTTAAAAAGCTTTTAATGAACAAAAACATTGCCATTAAACTGCTTTTTTTTCTTAAAAAAAGAATAAAGAAACGCCTATGTCCCATATCTCAAAAGCAGCATGTCCAATTAACCTCAAGCTTCCTGAAAATATTCTCCTTTGTCTTGAAACCAAACATGAAACATCCTCCTGTTCCCCACCCTACCTCTTACAGAAAGAGTAAAAGGGATCAAAACTGGGCTTATAATGGCAACCATAGTAGCAGCCTTTACTAGGGAATCGTGACTGTCTACATAATAAAGCTGCCTAATACATATTTTAGTCAGTATAATAACCGTTAGCCTATAAATAGGAGAGTACTATGAGTATAATGCTTGGGAATATTGTTTGCCACTTGTAATTGTTAAATGCTTTTTTTGGGGTTACTCCAAGCAGTTGTTCTTTTGACTTGAAGATAAAACAATTCTGGCAGAGCACTAAAGGAGTTTCATGCTTTCCCTCATTAAGAATAGTGCTAATGGCACGCAGGACGTTTCCCCAAAGGACACTTGCATGAGCTCAAACACTGAGTATAGCACTAATTGAACAACAACAAAAACTGATGACTGTTTTCTACTCGTTTCTTAACAGTACAGATTGTCCCAGGGGATGATTAAACAAGCAAACAAAGAGATACTGAAATAATGAAGTCTTTTTTTAATGTGGAGCTCTTCATTTGTTATGTTAGAATGTTCTGCTTTGTTGATATTTTTAAAGCTTTACTATTTGTAATATAGAATTCCTGCTCCTTTACCCCACTTTGCAGTGTGTACCTTATATATCCTGTGAGGAAATGTGTACTGTTTCTTTAAAATTGTTGTGAGACACTGTGCAAGAGAAGGACTGAAAAAGATTGTATGAATTTATGAAGGGGAAGAATAAATTTTTCAGGATTTTATGTATGTATATATGTGTTTGGGTATTTTTATATATGTATATATTTACCTCTGAAATACTAAGGAAAATACCAATTTTATACAGGAAAGACTTGTATGGGCCTTAAAGACAAGAAAGAGGGTGCTCTTCAACATGTTAGGATTTATGGAATTATTCTAAGCATGTTCTAAATCTACTCTGCATAAATGCAAAACTTGTGTTATGCAGAGGGAAACTAGGATAGTTCTGCTTGATAGGTTGGCATTTGGTGGAGTTGAATGGCGTACCTTTTTAACAGGATTTTGTTAAATGAAATCTCTAGCTGTTTGAAGATTTACTCAATTTTTTTGTCCTGTAACAGTAAGGGTGTGAGAGAGAATTGTGAGGCTTTTGAGGTGTTAAACTATTTTCTGCAGGGCAGCATGACTGAAAAACCTCTTGAGAGTGGTAGCTTTAACTACATGTTGATGTTTCTACAATGAGGTCATTAGATTCTGCTTGGAGCCAGTATAGGTGTGGTATTATCTTCACAGGTGATAGCTGTGCATAAGACAAAATATGGAATCAGAAGCCCATAACTCTTTTTGGGCTTCTTAAGTAGTGTGGGGTAGAGTGATGACAGTAGGTGCAACTGGAGCGTGGTTGGCTGACCTTTCCGTGTGCCTGTGCTAGCAGCAGTGGTGAGTGGAGTGGTGTGCACAGAGCAACTCATTAGCTCTTTATCATGTCTGCACTTGCTCTCAATAGGATTAGATGACGAGGCTGTAAAATGTCAGCACCTTGTCAAAACTATTGCTCTGACTGCTTCTGATGATGATGATGTGGGAAATTCATTGTAAAAGTTCAGCATTGACGCAGTCAAACACATCATTTATCTTGTGCAGGCACTATTTGTGTTCTGAGAAAATGATATAATGGAGCTTATTTCTGTCTCCTGCCTTATGCCATTTAGGGTCACTTTAGGTGTGTAATCATACTGCAGCAAACTGCATTGCTGGATTGGACAAAGTCATCTAAGCCTGAGTGGATGAAGAGGAAGTACTTTAACTGTGCTAGAATATAATTTTTTAACTGCAGTATATAGCACCACCAGGCATGATGCTGTAATAAATGCTATGGAGATGACTGAGGTCCATCCAAGCAGGCCAGATTTACATTACTGATTATTTAAGTAATACTGGGGGTTTTGGTGTTGTATGAAGGATTCGGATTAGGACACAAACTAAAGGAACTATCCAAGTAATGCCTTCTGTGTTACCTGGTTTTTAGTTCTTAACTTTTTCACTCATAATACATCTCATGCTCAAGCTGTGCTAGCTATCTTTGTTTTGTAGACACCTATGTATTTCTGAAATAACTATTCTGCACATCAGGAACAGTAGAAGTAGGACATTTTTTTTCTTAAGTGTTTAAAAACTGTAATAGAAATAGGTGGTATATTTAATTGTAGGTTGGTAATACAAAGGAAAAACTTTTTACTGCGTGAGGAAGGTATCATGAACTGTAAATATCTCACCCAGGAAAAGACTTGAATACACCTAAAACTTGAAAGGAAAGCTATCCGTAGAGGAAACAAGCAGGTTTCTGCAAGATGGTGGGAAAACATAGCAACACAGGAACAGGATGTAACTGAAGAATTAAACTTAATCTGTTCGCTCTTGTGGGTGAAGGGTAAAAGTGTCAGAAATGGAAACAAGTTTCCTGATTATACTGGAAAATTAATAGATTTTGGAATGAATAAGCTAACATTTATCAGATTGAATTTTGTTAATTTGTTTCTCCGTTTTGTTACATTTTCTGTTTCTCTGATGTTCTCATACCACCAAGTGTGCCAACAAATTCTGTCAAACTGATTTTCTTGACCCTGTGAATTGCTTATTTGAAAGTTGATACCTTCAGATTGTTTCATTTCTTTACCCTTTGATTATTTCTAGTTCATGCCTTTTTTCTAGGTTCTTCCAGGGAAAGTGAAAAATCAGCAACTTTGAAGCATCTCACTTTTTACTTTCTGCTGCAATGTTTGCATGTCCATACACAAAATCTTAAAATAAACTTGGGAAAATGAATGTGAATTCAGACATGACCAAGCAAGGTGTGCACTATGTGAGCATTGATTGTCAGCTGATCCCTGAATGAGCCACTGAGTTCAGCATAAGCCATAAATCCAGCAGTTGCTGTTGAGGGCAGCATAGGTCTGTAAGGGAAGCTATATAGAGTCTTTTAAAGATGTGTGCTGTGGATCCGGCTGAATAAAGATTGTCCTTTTCTGGCTCTAACTTAAGAGCTAGCTGTCCTAAAGTCCTGCAGTACTATTATGGCAAATACTGCAGTTGTTTACATGACAATCTGAAACTAGTGATGTTGTTTGCCTTTTAATTTTGTTTCATAGCTAGCAAATGGAGGAGACCTTGTGCTCTGGCTCAGGAATTTTTTTTCAGCCCTGCAGCTGTTAACAACAGTCAATCACAGACCAGAGCTCTCCAGCCTTTACAGGAACCAAACACAGGTGGAACATGAGAGAAGACCAAGAAAAATCTATGAACCTTATTTATTTGTTTGTTTAAAATCACACAGGAGAATGTGTCATAGAGGAACTCCATTCCAGGAAGCAATTAGTGTAGTGCATCATGATTAGGTTTCTGTTTTGCAGTCATGTGGTGGGAATTAGGGGTTGGTGAGTGGTGACGTACCTTTTTTACCATATCACCAGATCTATATTTCTGGGGATAAATGGCCACCACTGGTACTTCTGACACGCTAGTGGATTGGGGCTGTTGCATGGAAACATCATCTTGAGAACTTTCACTGGGGTTTGAACTGACAAAGCTGTGTTGTGATAGGTGCTCTTCCTTCTTTGATCATTGAACATCCTGGCTGAGTCAGAGCTTCTTTTCTTTGGTATCTTGAACACTTGCCTTCAAAGCTGTTAGTAGTGTAAAATTTGCCATCTGACTGAATGACTTTTGAAAGTCTATACCAAGGGAATGGGAGGTAGTCAGAGGGGTCAGGAAGACTACTTGTCACAGGAATAGTTTGGGGGTTTTTTGTTTGTTTTTGAGGAACTTGTGTAGAACATTGGCTGCTCTTCAGAATTACTACATTTGGGGGGGGGAAATAAACAACAAAAGAATGCTTCAGAACAAAAAACTTGGTTACAAAAGTAACCATGGTACATCCCTCAGGTCTTCAGCTAGAAGCAAAATGAAAGCTTGTGACACAATGAGTCATCTGCAAAACCCAGCATGTGTCATATGTACACATGTTTCTAATAACAATAACAAAAAGGCTTAGATTAGACTCTTCTCTGCAATGAGAGATTAAAATAATATTTGCAGTTTTCTACAGGGTTTTTATGCCTGTTTGGGGAAATAATTTAACTCACGGGCACCTGTGCCTATTAAGTAGGGAACCTATATTTGTTTCTGTAGTTATTGGAAAAACAGTTTAATCCTGGGATTACATTTTCCCTAAAGTTGGTATGTATTCAACTTTAAACAAAGTGCAAACAATAGTAACACTTCAGTATCTGAAATATTTAACTTCAACACATGCAGCTAGAAGGGAACAGAGCTTCTTGGTGGTCATAGACCTGTCAAATAGTAATTGACTAATCAACAAAGCATTCAGGGTTAATATGAGAAATTTGCATCAATTATTGATAGAATAGTAAACCAATTTAGACAAATCACTGTTAGATGTAATATACATTCTTTATGTATATTCCATTAGTAATCAGTTCAAGATTATTTAAAATAAGTCTTTCTGACAAATATTCACAGCTGAGTTTGTACTGATTACAAAAGTAATTTCAAAACTGGATTGATAAAATGGAGCAGCTTGTTTATGTGGATGTGGACTTAGCTGTGTTTTTTCTCTCCCCTTTTCCCTTAAAAATTCAGACTACTGGTAGCCCTATCTGCCGTAAAGACTCAGTTTTTGAAGCATTAGTCAATGAATAGGAACAGATTTCCCACTCCCTGCCCCCCCCCCCCCCCGGTTTGTAAGCTGTTATGGACATTTATTCCAGTGCTTTTACTTGTATTTGCTTGTTAGGCCCATTTTATAAAATCCATCCCTGTGTAGAATTATTTTTTTAAGGCATTTTCACAACAGGATGTCCAGAGCATGCCTGTCTCAGAGCATAGTTGGCTTTATGCTCTTCCAGTGTACCAAAATAAAGTTAACCTTTGACTTCATGCACACAATCAGCAAAGCAATTAGACTGTTTCACAGACTCAGTTTTAGTGTAATTACTTAAGTTTTTGTTACTTGTGGATGGAAAGAGACCCATGAATGGAGGGAATCATTGACAAGTCTGCAGAGAACTTAAATGAAAAAGACTGAGGTGTGAATTGTAAGTTTTATCTTGGAGTCATTGTCATATTGAAGCACAACTATTTAATTTGTGTATGAATACATTAAAATTTATTGCTTGTACTTGTTTCAGTTGATGTACCTGGTTAATTATTTGCTTATTTCACCAGTTCTCTTCACTGATCAGTATGCTTGTAGAAGTGGCTTCCTTAAGTCTACCATACTCCCAGAAGTCTGCAGAGTTTATTTAGTAGTGACAATGGCTCTCCATTTTTAACTTTGTATTTTCTCTGTTTGGGATTTCCACATGAATATGACTTTTTTTTTTTTTTCCCCCCTCTGGGTTGTAGTTGGGGTTTTTTGTTTTGTTTTTTAATGAGAAGGTAACTTGCCAGCTTAAAACATGATGATAAGATAGATCTGTGGCTGTGCTGTTTTGATTTTGTAATGAATTTGCAAGTGGGTAGTTTCACATGACTCGCCCTGTAAATAACGTGCCCCACCCTTCATATAGTGATCCTGGAAGAAACTTGCTGTGTTTATTTTCCTGCCATCTTTCTGGTGGCTGCTGTTGGCCTGTGATTCCTGCTGCACGGTTTAGGGGAGGAGCTGGGTAAGGCAACAAGTTGTCATCTGCTTGTATCCTCACCATCAGCACAGACTGCTCTGTGAACAAAGAGATGCAAAGAAAGAGGAAAGAAAGATGACAAAGGGATAGAAGGAAAAAGAGTTTGAGAAGAGGTAGGGGGAGAAGAAGCTTATTTGGGAAGATGGCAGGTAGCATTGACATTGCTAACCTTAAGAACTGAGAGGCACGAAATCCATTTTAACTAATTTTTAAACCATTGAACAAATATTTAAAGGAGAAAGTGAAGTGAATAAAATTTTAGGAGGGAAATCTCACCTCTTGTTTGTTCTGTCATTCTGGGTTAAAACTTCTGTGCATGCATGCTTGTACATCTTGGGTGGAATTAGATTCTGTTTACCCTAACGTGAGTCCTGCAATTAAGGAATTTCTACTCTTTACTCATTTTTAAAATAGAACTGTCTTTTCCTACCCCTTAGGCATTCATTTGACTCTTGGATTGAGTGCTCCAATGACTTATTTTTTGGAAGAAACCTGATTTCTTGCTAAGTTTTTGCTTAGCATTTTTTTCTCAGAGCTTGCACATATGTAGATAAGGATAAATATCTTGAATATCAGTTTATACAGCTGGCAAAAAAAGTGCACAAACTTTCAGGCACAAAATCTCCTCCTTTATAGGTAATATGTGCTCAGATGTCTCAGCATAACTTTCTACTTCTTATGTAGAAAATAAATTTTCAGAATATAGAAGGAAGCTGTTATAGTGGGTCAGACTTGTCACTAGTTGAAGCTATTTATATAGAGTAAATGGAATAAAATATCAAAAATACTTAAGCATTTCATTACCGTCCATCTGTAATTTTAAGAAGTGCTAGTAGAAATAATACAGCGCTTTTAATTGTGATTTTGGTCTGTGTACTAGGAAAAAAAAAAGTACATAAAAGGCAGTCTTACAAACTGTTCCATTACTGGCAGCTCAATCTGTAAATAAGTCAATTTTGGAATAAATCCAAAACAAGAGCATAAGGGGAAAGGTATTGTTGGATGGTGTAGTGAAATGAGATGGATTCTTTCACCTTGGGGATTATTTGCTGCAAATAGCGGACGTCCTACCATTAAGCTAAAACATAACATGTTTAAACATCCTTCTACCTGCACGTGGTAGCACCTTATTTCAAGGTCCTGGGTCACTGAAATGTCATGTTGTAGCTAATTCTGGAAGAAGGGCTTTAACAAGGAAAAAAAAAAAAAAAAGTTGAGTATGAATCTTTTTGCAAAGTAGTTGTTACCAGGATTGGTTACCAGTCTATTTGTAATGGTAATGACTTTAAATGAGGTTTTGTAAGGCTTACTTCTAAATAATAGGAGATAGATTCCCTAACTGTGAAAAGGTGACAGTAGATGACAAAGCACACTGTGTGTGCAACATTCACATGGTGGCATTAAACAGGAGTGAGAAGAGTGGAGCTAGGGTGGGATGGCAGGAGGAAGCAAAAATGTGTGTGTGTGTGTGTATACATACATATAAGTGTGCTTATATTAAAAAAAAAAAAAAAACACAAAACAAAAACAAAACCAAAAAAACCCCAACCAAACAAAAAGGCATAAGTGAACTGAGGAGCCAGACACTTATCCTGGAAGAGGACAAAACGTGTGGAGAAGTAGTAAAGTGGAGCAAGCTGAAACTGGAAGTTATGATTGATCCAGAAAACTGTTTACCAAAAGGTTCGAGAGCTGATTTGATCTCTCTATGAACTTGGGAAAATGCCAAGTTGATTTTTCATATGTGGTATATGTGGTAGTCTTCTCCACAGATAGCAGAGACTGATTCTCAGAGCTGTTGTCATGTTGTGTGCTGCTGTCTCTGGTAGCTTACGGCTTATCCATAGAAAAAGCCAAAATTTCGTAATGGATTACTGACTGTATTACATGAGAGGGTAAGGCAGGAAAAGAATGAGTGATGAAATCTACCTCTCTGCAACTTTTGAGGTTATTTATCTTAGATAAAAGCTACTCAGGATCTTCTAGTGTACTTGTATTGCTTGTGCCCAGAATGCTTTACCTGAATTCAGTTGATTAAATTAACCCCTGTAACTGGCCTTGCAGCTCCCTGTGTGTGTTCTGATTTGTGAACAGCTGTGCTGAGCATGGCTTTGGTTGCTGGATGTTTATTCTGCTTTTCCCACTGCTGCTGTACAGCAGCATAAAGGGTGCAGGCTGAATTGCCATTCTGAATTGCCTCCACTCACCTTGCAAATACATATTTAAAAGGAAGAAAATACAGGTCACTCGTCATGCTTTTGGGTTGTAATGTGGGAAGCCTTCTACAATTGAACTTTCTCTTGAAGTTATCTCTAGTTTTTTTTGGGGTATTTCCACCCTCATCTGTTATTCAAATCTATGTTCTCTTCTTTTTGATTTACACTTTTTCTTTGATCCAGATGAAGTCTAAATTTGCTGCTTCTTGCATATCTCTGTAGGTTGCGGTCTGGGCCCTGTCGAGGTCAGTTGAGGATTTTAAGATTATTCTCGAGGAACCAGGATTCTTTTGGTTCCCTTTTGGTACCCTTGGGTACCTTCACATTTTCTCACTTTACACACTGGCAAAACTATTGTCTAATCCTGGCTGTCTTTCAGCATGATACAGCAGTGTCACCTTTTTGCTTCTCTTGAAGTGAAACCATCCCCTTAAAATGGCTCAGTGGCTCCACTAGAGCCATCTCTGTCATGTTACAGTCTGTTCCTTTAATGTCCTCCTTCAGTGCTGCTTTGGCCGTAGGTCTGATGTATGTGTGCATTGGTTTTGTCTTCAAAACTTTTTTTATCTTAGGTTGTTTCTGCTTTTTTTCCACCCACAGTGCCAACTTCAGCTTTCTGCTTGTGAACTTTTCCCGCATGCTTTCCCCAAATCTCTCTGCACATAAAAAAACTGACAAAACCTGTGAAATTGCTGTCTGAACATTTAAGCTCTCTTTTAGATCTTACCTTTGCTACAATGCATACAGAAAATCACCATCTGCTAAGTAGGTAGTGACAGGTAATTGTGTCAAGTGGCTGCAGATGGCGTGTGAATCTGGTGCAAGCTACATTTGTTATCCCATCTTTTATTTCCTTGCCAACATACCAACTCTTTTTGTCCCCCCTGCACATCTTGTTTTTAGAGTGTAAGTTCTTTTGGACAGAGCTGTTGTTGCGCTTACTGGACATCACATCCCAGTCTGTTTTGGTGGTGGTGGTTTTGGTTGGTTGGTTGTGTTTCTTTCTTTTGTTGTTGTTGTTGTTTTTGTGTTTTTTTCGGTTTGCTTGTTTTTGTTTTTTGTTTGTTTGTTTTTTAATCTGGAGTGATTTGTAACAACAGGTGCTTTTTCCTGAACATGAATTTCAACTAACCTGCCTATTTTAAAGAGGCTGTTCACGAATTCCCACAAAATAGAGAAGTGGGAAATTCAGTTTTAAACAAGTGTCTACTGTTGCTAGTCAGATGAAACAAAGGAAACTTCTTTTTTCTTTTGTAGTTGAGCTGCCTTGCTTTTGATTTATCTGCAGTGTTGTTCTCTGCATTGTGTCCCGTGTCTTTGTGAACTCATGAAGTAGTAATCTGCACTCTCCCATCATACAAATGCCATATTTTAAAAGCTCTATTATCATAGAATGGTTTGGGTTGGAAGGGACCTTTAAAGGTCCTCTAGTCCAACCCCCCGGCCATGGGCAGGGACATCTTCAACTAGATCAGGTCGCTCAGAGCCGCGTCCAGCCTGCCCTTGAACGTTTCCAGGGATGGGGCATCTGCCATCTCTCTGGGCAACCTGTGCCAGTGTTTCCCCACCTGCATTGTAAAAACTGTCTTCCTTATATCTAGTCAAAATCTACCCTCTTTTAGTTTGAAAACATTAGCCCTTGTCCTGTCACAAAAGGCCCTACTAAAAAGTCTGTCCCCATCTTTCCCGTAGCTCCCTTTAGGAACTGGAAGACTGCTATAAGGTCCCCCCAGAACCTTCTCTTCTCTAGGCTGAACACCTCCAACTCTCTCAGCCTGGCCTCATAAGGGAGGTGCTCCAGCCCCCCCCCGATTGTCTTCATGGCCTCCTCTGGACCTGCTCAAGCAGCTCCATGTCCTTCTTACGTTGGGGGCCCCAGAGCTGGACACAGCACTGCAGGGGGGGTCTCACCAGAGCAGAGCAGAGGGGCAGAATCCCCTCCCTCGACCTTCTGTCCACGCTGCTCTTGCTGCAGCCCAGCATGCAGATTATGTTTCAATTCGCTGGATTATTTTAGTTTTCACTTTTTGCTAGTAACCTTAAAATAGTCTCACTTAAAGATTTCTAAAAATAAAGAGTAACTGTGCATGGGTTATTGCTGAAAAATTCAAATCATTAGGTTAATTCTTCTGCTGTTTTTGCAGGACTTCAAGAATATGTTGAGGCAGTCTCATTTCAGTATTTTATCAAAACACGATCTTTGATTAGTGTTGAAGAGATCAACAAACAACTAATATTTACAGTGGAAGACACAGAAGAAACAACAAACACGGTAAAAGTTTTTCTTTTCTCATGTGACAAACATCTTTCTGGGATGGAAGTGCAGTGAGTAGGCTTAGTCACATTTTTGGCATCTGATTAAATAAGGCCAGTTAGTGGAATGGTATTAGATATACATGTGGGCTTTGACTCACTTGTTCAAACCATGCTTTTTATGCTGACAAGTAGTAAACTAAATCCATGGGATACAAGTTTATAAATTTCATGTCCTTTTTATTCCGAACCAACTGAACTCCTTCTGGGAGGGGGAAGATCCAGGATAGTGAAATAGTAGCAAACAAATGTAGAGGAGGGATTTTTACTGGCTGGGACTGCCTCTAAGGCAGTGTATAGTGATGTAGCAAAAGTTGGGGGAGGCAAACGAATCTGAGGCAGAATGAAGCCCATGAATGAAGTCTTACTGCTGGCTCTGAGCTAGTCACAGGAGGCACCGCATCCAGCTTCTGTTAAAATGCACTGCATATGTCTTAGCTTGGTCATTTGTAACTTCCCTGGAGTTGATCTTGATGCTTCCTCTCAGAGGACAAGCTTGTGTTCCATCA